GTTGCGCTCACGAACGATTTCGTTCAGTGTCTCATCGACACTTCAGTCATCGGTGGCTTTTTTACAGATCCTCCAAAGAGTGCTTTTACTCCGGTGTTCCGGCCCTATAATGTAGTTAGTATTGCGGCTGGTAAAGAAAAGCTTTCCACAAAATCAAAGACAAAACCTACCAATTTTTCGCAGACGTGGTCCATTACTGCCATGACACCATCCTGATTCCACCAATCTGGATCCTGAACGCTCTCAACCTCACCTCGCATAACAATGATCTGACCAGCTGGAATCAATTTACCCCCGCCGTAGGCTGATCGGAGGTGCTGAGGAACACCGGATTGGGTGACGTCCCCATTGAGGGACTGAGTCAATCGGTTGATCATTTTGGTTCTCTGCCCTGCGGTCAAAATGCTTGGAGGGCTAGAAGTCAATACAAAGTTGCGATCCAAATCGACCACGAGTGCATCAGATGGAGCTGTAAACAGGGTTTTGCATTCCGCAGTAACACCAAGTATGTATGGACCCGGCTCTTGGACGAGCTCCTTTGCGTGGCGGGCATGGACAACTGGGCAGTAGAGGCCACTCCATTCGTAGACGCGGACGCAGAATCGAATCGTTTCGGCGGCTACTGTGAGCATGGCTGGGTAATGACTGACGAAGATTATACGGCGAGTGGGCGAGACAGCGGCTTCGATAACACCAACGATGTTTGGAATAGACAAACAATTGAATAAAGGCCACATAGAAAAATTTTGGTACCCAGTTTGCGAGGAAGGAAATTGGTAGCACAATGCATAATCCTTCATGTCAATCCGAACCAAGTCATTGAGTCGTGGTGCTGGGAAGCTGAGAATGCGGGATACTTCTTCTGCGTGGAAGAGATTGGTAGCCTTGTTCCAGTGGATCCACATGCCACGGAGGTAATCGCCCAGTAAGTCGTAGAGGGGATATCTAGATAAGAAACTGAGGCAGTATGGAATCCAGTATGTTTCATCTGGGGTGTCATAGAAATCCGACTCCGTTTTCTTACGTAGCTCGCGAATGGTCTCCGCACGTTTTTCATCTGCTCGAGACCATACACGCAGCGCAATACCGTAAAGAGTGTGAGAAGAATCTTGCTGGAGAACGAAAGAATGATGTACACAATGAGGTTGGCTTTTGCCAGTGCAGATTTCAACATCGTGAGGGAAACAAGCCTATAGAAATATAGAGATCAGTTCAAGTTCCAGTTCCAATCTAGATAGATGAATGGGATTGGTCCTGTCCATGATGTCTCAAGGACTATATTAGAAAGTTCCCAACGGTACTTACCCTCATAGCCGAATGCAACGCTCTCGCAATCTCGTTATCCTGCTCTAGTCTGGGACTGCTTCCCAAAATCTCAGGTAGCCAGAACTGACCAACTGCGCCTTTCATATGTCCAATCTTTCCCTGAGCGGGAGGGGGAGCCTTCACCCATTGTGAAGGCTCGCGGCCAACGCCACAGACCATGTAGGCATGGGTGAGAGTTTTAGGAGTTTGTTGAGCTGGTTTCATATTCAACGTCGAAGGAATGGGCTGAGTGATTCGAGAATGAAGCGAGGAAGTTCGGCTGGGGATGACAAGGGAGTTGTCTCCCTGGTCCCGCGTCATGGGACGGTCCCTGGTGGCAGGGCGAACGAACGACGCATGGTCTCTCAACGAGGGAGCCATGATGAAAGAATGTTATTTTATTGTATGTCCTTCTGGAGGATCGATTGATCGATATCGATGGAATTGATATTGTTCGTATTCTGTTATTGTTGAAGCGGGTGGATGGGGAGGTTTTGGATTGCCCTCAGCTACAGCGAGCAGCAGCGGTGCCAGCAGTTGTGAAAGGGAAAAAAGCAAGAAAATCCACTTGCTGTAAACATAAAACGGATATGGTTAGACGGAATTCAAAACCAATCTCTTCTATCGTTCTACGAGAAGAGAGAAAAAAATCAGTCCAATGACACAAAAAAGATCAATAAGACCCAATTGAAATATGTTACGATTTGCCGGAGGGACCATCAGACGGAATTCAGTATATGTA